TATGCAGTTCAGGCTGAACTTGAGCTCACTTTGTAGCCCAGGCTGGCCTCAAACTCACAACAGTCCTCCTGCCTCAGCCTCCAGAGTGCTGGGATTACAGGCGTGTGCCACCACGCCCGGCTTTTTAAACTTTTCTTAACTTTCCTTTTAATGGATAAAGAATAACTGCGCATAGTTATCTTGGAAAATGGGATTCTTTGATGTATGTTTACACTCTGAAACAATCAAGCCGATTTATGGTAACTGTCACACAAGTTAGTTAACAAATCCTCCAAAATAAAAACCAAGAAAAAAAAAAGAAAAAGCCCAACAAAACCACTGCTCACATTGTTACTGAAATCAGTGTGCCGCAGAGACACCCGGCCGTGCTCATGGAGGCTTTTTTTTTTTTTTTTTTTTTTGGTACTGGGAATCGACCTCAGGACCTTGCACTTGCCAGGCAGGCACTTGTGCCGCTGAGCTAAATCCTCAGCAGAGTATGGTGGCTTTATTCACACAACCAAAACACAGACGCAAACTGTGTCCATTCATGGCCGGATGAATGGGTAAAGAAAATGGAGCTACATTCAGCCCTAAAATAGTGGCCGGGAGGTAGGCATGGTGGCACACACCTGTAATCCCAGCTATCTAGGAAGAGTTCAATTTAGCGACGTACCAAGACCCTGTCTCAAAATAAAAAATAAAAAGGGGTGGGGATGTAGCTCAATGTGAAAGCCTTAGGTTCAATCCCCAATACCAGAAAAAAAAAAAGTGGGTGAGAAATTCTCTGAGTGTGTCCACCTCTGCCACAAGAACGCCAGCCCTGAGATGGGCCCATCACACTACAGTGTACACAGTAGATGCTTACTAACTGTTTGTTGAATGAATGAACGAATGTAAGCAATGTTTTTGAACTCTCAACACGCCCCCAGGACGCACAGCACCCAGGACACGGCTCTGCTGGGTGCCTCCTACGGGGCAGAACAGGAGGCCAACACCGTGGCTCACAACTCAGCACCTCAGAACCCTGGGGCCTCAGTCTCCCTTCTGTGAAATGGGCCTAGGGAGCGTCTGAGAGGAGCCGCTTCTGGCCCCTGGAGCCACACCCCCCACCCCTCTCTGGGGCGGCTGTCCTTCCTCAACCTTCAAAACTAAGCCGAAACAGGGACATCTCTTTCCCAGCGCCCACCAAACACCTGGGAAACACCAGACAAGCCAAAGCCACCTCCCGGGGACCCTCTTGGGCAGAGCCCGGACCCTGTGCCCTCCTCACTCCCCAAAACACCCACTGGCGTCATCGAAGCCTTTCTGGGTGCCAGGTGCACTTGCTGAGCACACCTCACACCTTAATCTGCCCGGGGGATCTTCACACCACCGTGCAGATGAGGCCACTTCCCTGCCTCAACCCTCAGGCATAAAGACTGCACCCCGCCCCACCCAGGGGCCCAGGATCGCTGAGTTCCTCCTGGCCCGCTCTGCTGGCACCCGCCTCTCTGCCTCTGCTCACCCCGGGGCCTTTGCACTGCAGCTCCACAGACCATGACACCCCTCTGCCTCCCCTGAGCACCATTCCCAGCCCTTGATCCTGGGGAAGCCCTTGCTGATGTCCCTGGATAGGTCCAGAGCCCCTGGTTAGTGCTTCCTGAGTACTGCTCGCCCTTCCTGGCACTCAAAGCATGATAGTTTTATGCTCGTTTGTGCGATCATCTCCCAGGAAGCTGCACCTGGGTCTCCTCTCGCTGGCGCCGCTCTGCCACAGCACCCGGCACACAGGAGGTGCTAGATGAATGAGTGCACATAGGGTCTAGAGAGATACCCGCTTCTCACAACTCGGAGTTCGACAAGCAGCTACTGAGCAGAGACCCGGGCTGCTGCCAGCTACGCCGCACCCCAGCAAATCAATATCTGGTGCCCTCCAATCAACAGAAGCTCTGCTGCCCAGCGTGGTGGCGCACACCCACAATCTCAGCACTCGGGAGGCTGAGGCAGGAGCATCGCTGTGAGTTTGAGGCCAGCCTGGGCTACAAAGTGAGCTCAAGGCCAGCCTGGACTACCGGTCTCAAAAAAAGTAAAAAACAGAGTCAGGGATGTAGCTCAGTGGCACAGCGCCTGCCTGGCAAGCTCAAAGTCCTGAGTGTGAGTCCCAGTACCAAAAAATAAATAAAATAAAAACAAAAACAAAACAAAACTGGGTGGAGGTTCACACCTATAATCCCAGCACTGGGGAGGCTGAGACGGATTACCGAAAGTTCAAGGCCAGCCTGAACTACATACCCTGGCTCAAAGAAGACCAGAAGCCAGGTGTGGTGATGTAATCCCAGCACTCAGGAGGCTGAGGCAGGAGGATTGCAGAGGCCGAGGCTAGCCTGGGCTATGTAATGAGTTCAAGACCAGCCTGGACTACATAGCAAGACCCTGTCTGAAGAAAGAAAAATAAAAGTCCTGCTTTAGGAGAAGAACCCCATAACCAACTCTAGGCTACAAAGACAGGTGTCCCAGGTAGGCTTGGACTCTAACTCCCAGCTCAATCTCTGTTCCAGCCCCAAGGGCTCCAGCTGCACTGCCATCGTGCCAGGCACGGTCCTGCCCCAGAGCCTTTGCACTTCCAGCTCATGATGCCGGGACCTCCCTTCCCTGAGACATCCACATGGCTGCTCCTCTCTGCCTACACGCGGAGCCCTCCTTGTTCCCCCAGGAAGAGTCCCTGCACCCACACAAGACACCCGGGCCTCCTGTGCCTGCCAAAGCCCCTCAAGCTCCAGCTCACAGTTTGGGGAAACCAGCCCCAGACAGACAGTGGGAGGGCAGAGCAAGCGAGGGAGAGATGGAGAGAAAAGGAGAGGCGGAGGGGGAG